CGCTCCAGGCGGGGGACAGCTGGGTGGCTGCTGTGCGCCGGCACGGGCTCTCCGTGGATGTGCCCCGGTCTTTGGTGGAGGTTGTGCTGTTTTGGTGATTGACCTCATCGCTCAGGCAAACGTGGTCGTGGGGAGGGGTCTGCTCACCTGAAGGGGGAGAACAGTGTTGGCAGCTTCGCAGAGGGTGATGCTCCTTAATGGGGATGCCACCCAGACTCACCCTGCATCCATGTGGGATGGTTTTCCCAACCTCCTGCACCAGCATCACTTGCTCAGGCTCCTGAGAGCCACAGAATGGTGCAAGGAGCTGCCCCTGGCCAACAGCTTGAGAGAACTCACCCGTTTTCAGAGGGGATGATGACCGGGACACCCGCTCCTGCCAACTGTGCTTTTTCGCCAGAGAGTTGTTGTTCAGGGTGTCCTGAGGAGAAGAACAAAGCTGCTTTGTAGCCTGAACAGTAAACAGCACGTGGTGCAGCAGCAGCAGCACCCATCCCTCCCCGGGATAAACACACACATACATAGTTCACCAGCAGACATCAACCCTGATCAGCTGGAGCTTTTATGGGTGCTGTGCCCTGGGTGGCTGGTCATGCATTTGCACACATGCTTGTGCATGGGGGAACATGTGCTCAGCTTCACTGTGACACTCAGGGACCAAAGGCCACCAGGTCCCCTACAGGGGACAAGTCCTCCCTGCCTGCCTCAGCAGTGCATGACATCCTGCCTGCTTCAGCGCATCCTCTCCTGCACCCCTAAGTTCTCCCTGGTCCCTCCTGCAGGGCACCAAGCGTTTCTCCCCCAGCTACAACCATGGCATTTTCCATTCTGTTGGTTTTCACTTAACTACTGAGCCCTTCTGGGACTCCCTGGATTTTCTCACAGCCTTATCACCAGCCTGCAACTACAACCAGCAGTGCAGGAGCTGCCCCATCCTTACTTTGCTTCCTCACCAACATGAAACAAGCCTTTGCCCTGAAAGTCCATCATGTCACATGCTGCAGAACCACGGCTGGCAGATCCCTGCCTCCATGCAGGGAGGGAAGAGACCCACAACATGGGGCTTCGGTGACATCCCAGCATGGCCCCCTCTGTGCCAAGGCAAATAACATTGCATCCCTGCTTGCTTTTCCCAGTGCAAGGATGGGCCAGGATGCAGCCAGGCAAGCTGCCACAGTGACAGCCTCTGCGTGCCAAAGGGCCAGCACACCAGCCAGCCTGGCTGCCTGGACCAGGAGGCAGCAATGCTGCAGGCAGATCCCACCAAGCCCATCCATGCATTCCACAGGGCCAGGTTTCTGTAATGCCCAGCCAACATGGAGGGGCATTCACAGGGTCTTAGAAGATGAACCTAGCCAGTCACAGCAGCTGTTTCTTCCCCTTTGAGAAGCTGGGGATGTTCCTCTCACAGTTTCCTGGCCATCTGCCTAGGCATTCAAAAGAGGCCGAATGGCCATGGTCCCTCTTGTGACCACCTGCAGGAGGAGGGAGCTGAGCAGGCCAGGATGGTCTGGCACAAGTAAAGGCAGATCTCGGGCTGATTTCCAAGGGATACCCTGCACCCTGTCCTCATCTTGGGGCACCATACACGGGCATGGAAAAACTGCCTTTAGCTAGGTAGGCATCCGGAACAGGTAACCCATGCACCTCACAACCAGCCTGCCTCTCACGAGATGCCACCAACGGCACTGCCCCCCCTGGCTGGCCATGCCCCAGTCTGGAGCCCCAATCCCCACTGCCAGCTATGTCAAAGCCTCTATCTCCCATTCCCCATGTCCTCAGCTCAGCCATGCCCATGGCTCCCAGTGCCACCCCCCAGCCTCCACCATTGTCCTGCAAGGGAACCATCAGCTCCAGCCCTCCATCTATGCAACCTCCCCTCCACAGACCTGTGGCCACCCTTGGACGCTATAGGACCAGCTGCCCAGGAGGGTGGCTCTACTGTCCCCATCCCCACAGCTGGATGCGGCTGCCATGTGCCACTTGCTCCTTGGGGTCCCCGCGCAGGGTGGGACCAGGCTGCTGCTGTCCCCTTGTCCATTATGCTCCGTGGGGCTCTCCCCGCCTCTCCAGCCCTGCTGCCTTTGTCCCTGGTGCCAGCTGCCCCGCAGGCGCCCATCCTGGCTCTGTGCCTTCCTCCTCCTCCTCCTCCCAGCCATGGCCTCAGGCAGAGAGCTGGAATCAGCTGCTGGTGCCGGTGCTGGGCTGGTGACACCCAGCTCCGACTACTCCCCATCTGTCACCCACAGGGACACCTGCCTCTCGCTTCAGTGCTCCTCAGCTCAGCGTCACTGCGACGACAATCCTCCTACTTGGCAGCAGGCACGGCTGAACGCAGGAGGGTGGCAAAAATAGCCCCGCGCGTCGCGCAGCCTGCCTGGCTTCGGGAAGTTTGCCATAGAGATGGGGCAAAGAGACTCTGGATGCTGCTCGGAGGGTCAGCATGTGGGGCACTGAAATACTGCCCACCCCGGAATGACAGGAACCCCATGGCTGGTGGAGTGGGTAGTCATGGAGAAAACCATCCAAAACCTCATAGAAAACCTGAGCATGAACAAGACAACAGAACCCCCTTGTCCTCCTGGCCACCATTTTGGGCGTTGCTGTTGTGTCTCTCAGATTTAGCATGGGGTGCTGACGTTAACGCTTCTTTAGCCAGGCGCTGCTGCTCTGGAGTGGAGCCCACCAAAAAACTCTGGTTCCCCAGTGTCACCATCCTGCCCCGGGGCAGCTGAAACCCAGCCAGATGTTGGCCCTGGGCTCGCCAGCGCCGTGGCACAGTGCCCCGTCCCGTGATGGCTCATTCACGCGTTCATTCACCATGCCTCATTTGCTCTCCATCCCCACAG